GGGAAAGATCAAATGGGTGGCAAGTAAAGTCACAGAAAAGTGAGAAAGTTGGACAGTAGGTAACAGCAAAGGAGATAGAAGGAGCCAGTTTGTGGAGGAGAAAACCCAACACACTCAAGACATGGAAGCCACTAACTTTTCCATTTGCAGTCCTTTGATTAATGGTTGTATTACTCTTACACAAACATGGCCTTTTTTGCTCTAAAGATTAGTTGATTAATCAGGTTTCTACCTGTTTGACAACTTACACAGATCCATGTCTTGCCTGCCTTCGGTGAGCTTTTTTTACAGACAAATACTATACTCCGTCCTTAAAATGGCAGTTCACACTGAATAAAAAAGTACAGCAATAGAAATAATAAAGGAATATTAACATAACATCCAAATTCATTTGGAAGTACAATATTTTGCGATATGAGTACATTCAGCAGTTATTTGATCTTCATAAAACAACCAAACCAGCTATCATCCGTGCTAAAAAGCAGCACACCCCAAACATTCAAAAATACCCTGAGCTTCAAAAAAGCTCACACATTAACGTTGCTAGGTCAAGCACCCGGGAGTTGGAAGAGTTAGATATGTTAATTTACTATTCAACCTTAATTTGTCCTACTTGTGCAGAGGGTATAAATTTTAATAACATATTTATATGTGATGTGATGGTGCATGAAGTAACCAGCAAGTATGTCTATATTCTTGAATTATTTTTTTTTGGTTTATTTACCATAAAAAATGCTAAGAACAGAACAGAACTTGGTAAAAGTCTCACTTACTGTCTTCAGCTCTGTGTGATTATGTTTGTGTGGCATGGGTGAACAGGGCAAAGCACTGCATTTTACTAAGCTTTTTTCATACATGCAATAACTGCTGGTGGATAGTTACTTAAGGCTATGTCACTTAGAAGGTGACACTTTTTCTGCTAACATGAACTCATGAACAGGGCATAATATTTTTGTAATGTTAAATCAGGTGTTTAAGAGTCCAAGATTGACTTGAGTTGAACTGTGAGAGTGATAATGTAATCTGTAGTGCCATCTGCTGGATTTTTAAGTAAGTAAAAAATATAGTTTCATACTACATTTAAAAATAATGTAACTGTGCATAAAGGTGACCCAAATCTTTGGCATTTTTAGAAAATGTGTGCAGACAGAGCATAAATATGAAAGTGTACAATTTTGTCATTTTTTAATCTTAAATGTCCAAATATTTCAGATAGGTATACACTATAGGAATTAAAAAGTAAACCAGCAAAAAGCAATAACGTAGTCTGTTAATATAAAATTACATTCTTGGATCATAATTTTAATATCTGCTTAGTGGAGATGATTGCAGAATATGAATATACATCTTGGGCCAGCTCAAAAGAACCCAACAACATAAATGATAACATCTGTGTGGTTTGATATACCACTTTCTGATCAGTCAATATTATAGACTACCTCAATGATGACCATTGCTGGTCCTCCTAATGATATCAGCAAGCTGTCTGAAAACTTTAAGGTATGTAAGGTGCTTATCACATGAGCATCCTCCAAGGCTTACAGTTTTTAATAAGTACATGAAGACATGAGTAAAACTTTGCAGAATTGCCTATCTAATTTTTTTGCTAGGTTACACTGTCAATGTAAAATACTGAATATTCAAATGAAAAGGTGGTACATGTATGACACATAGGTAAAGCAGTTTTTTTGTGAAATGCCTTTGAAGAAAAAGGGGAGAGCAACCCACCATATTTTCTTGGGGAAAAAAGCCTAGAAACCTCAGCATATCTTGAGGTACACGTATACTGTTAAAGTGAACGGGTTAAGTCTTTTTACTGTACACATGAAAACTGTTTATTGGCTTTTGTCTTGCACTACCAGTGGTGGTACCAGCCTCTCGTGTCCGTGTGGTAAGGTCCTGAGGTTGATGTGCCTCTCCGAGCAGCTCAGACTCTTCCAGAATTTTAGCAACTGAAGATATTTTTTTTTTAGTCATATGAGATCTGATGTGCCCAAAGATTCAGCCATTGCATGATCTTTTTTTGGTCACACACATAGGTGCCACCTGTGTGAATGTGACCTAGCAGTCACCCTCACCAGCAGAGCCAGCTTACCCAGATGTGGCTGTTTTGTTGAGTGGTGCCGTTAGAGGAAGCTTAACCTTCAAGTTTCTCGATGTCTCTGTGCTATGTTCTCAAATGTATTGTTGCATTTGTAGATATTTTTCTATTGTTTCTCCATGAAGAGGAGAATGGTTTTAATCCTATGCGTGGAGAGTTCTTTCCTGCCTGGTAAGTAATTTTACTACATAATAAAAGGTGGAGCAGTACTGAAATCTTGGGCCATCAGATGCTGCTGCTGGTGATCTGAACAGTTCAAAAGGCATCGGCACTTCTGTGTTTCTAGCAAAGGATGAATTTTCACACGTAAATGTTATAAAGAGGTGCTCTTGCGTGTATGCAAAGTTTTATTGCGTTGAGACAGTATGTTAAAAAAGGTAGATCCATTAAGCAGGAAAAGTGGCTAGAGTGATACAGAACAAAAAATATGGGACTTCTAGTTCAGCAATATTAAAATGTAAATATTAAAAATATTAATGATGCAATATTAAATATGCAAAATATGTAAGTATGTAAACTTATGACAATTTTAATGTTTTCTTACATCTAGACCTGGAGGGATATTTTTCTAGTTAGTTCAAATTTTGTATCTAATAGTTCTTACGACAGCTTACGCGACAGCTGCTGATAGATATGTGGATTAAAAGATCAAACCTTAAGGAGCAGATATATAAATACATTTTCTTTCAGGTGGGGTCAAACCATTTCAAGTTAAAGGACATTTAAACTGAGTAACAAGAATGGTCATTAACTTTTATGTACTGTCTTCTAAAGTCACCACCACAAAAATACCCCAAAACAACTAACCAACCAACCAACCAGCCCAACAACCAAAAACCAAAAAGTTTTTACAAAATAGTATTATTGAAAGATGTTTTTTCCACTTAAGAATTTTTTTTTCTATTGTGAAATATGTTCAAGAAAATCTATTGCAGATACTGATTTCAAACATAAATACTATTTTTTAATAAGAATATTTGGTAGATTTTTTTTTTGGTCAACATTTTGAAACTAAATACTGACTTTTATTGTATTTTTTAGTGTATTGTCACAGAACACATCTGAAAGGTGATTTTAACAATTATTTGTTAATAGGTACTATAAAAATGGAATGAATTAGTTTTCATCCTTGTGTCCTGATGTGCATGGAGACTGCAAAAAGAGTATACTTGCAGTGCATTGCTCCCTCTGGCCGTCTTCTGTCTCCTCTATTTCTCACTTTTGAAGGAAAATTTCTATGAAACTTCTTCAGTCTGATTTATATATGTCTAGTGTTAAGTCCTGGAATAGTTTCCTATATTTTTTTTTGTTCTAAACTTTTGTTTTATTTTATTTCCCTTCATTTTTGGAGGCTGCATGGGTGAGGAAATCTCCTCTTTAGGGCTATGCCGTTGACCTCAGTAGTAGAGCTAGATTAATTTTGTGGTGCATTATGAAAAATGGTGTGGATATATGTATATATTCCTCTTACATAGTAGCCTGGTTGTTTTTTCTTTCAGAGGGGATTGCATTGATATCTGCCTCAAGGATCCCCCAAACTGTTCTATCATATGCTCTTATTAAGTCTTTAACCTAACATTTAGGTGTTTCTTGACATTCAGGAATATTTAATACACTTAAATTTTCCGTGCATCTGATGAAAATGTGCTCTATGGCCTCATAGTTAAGGAGCAGACTTGAAAAATATCCATCTGCATTTTAGTTCTTGCTTAATACTTAATATACTTCTGTATGAGGCAAATAATACTTCTGTATGAGGCAAAACTGTTGAGAGGGATTTGTTGCCACTGTTATAGAATAGCCAGAGATGCAGAGATCCTGTTGTTCCTCAAAAAGGTGGGAAAGGTGGTTAAAGCCTTGCAAAAGAAGTAATTGAACCAGACCTGCCATGGGCTGGGTAAGAATCTTTCTGCTCTGTGAATT